GAACAATCGGGGTTTCTTCACAGAAAAATCCCCTGGTAGGGCCTGGTAGGGTTGCAGGTCTTTGCCTGCAGACGATGTTCTTTGGTCCTCGAAGGTCTTGTGTCATATGAGGGTTTAAGAGCGCGGTCGCTTGTTCCGCGCTCTTTTTTGGCGGAGTGCTCTTTCTTTTTTGACTTTTTGAGGCTAAATGCTTGTTAGAGTCAGAAACCCGTTCATGTCCTCAAAAAGTTTAGGGTCCCACGTGTCATGGCGAACAGGTTGAGATCATGATCGCAGATGGTGGATATGCCGGGGCTGCTCAATGGCAATCAGCCGCCATGATATATGATGTTTAGTGACGAACAAACGCCCTAACAATTCAAGTGGCTTGGCTTGGTAGACCATTTTGTTGTACGTAGTATTATGGGGAAAGGAAACTAAACTAATCAAGTATTATGACTTACAATTACAAGCAATACAGCATGTTCATAATTCATTGTGTGTCTTATTCATAGCTTTCGCAGGTGCCTTACGACGCTGCGCCTTTGAACTTTGAACCCTAAATGGCCACCTGTCGTGGTGCTCACGTGTCCCACTGCTCCCATACTGGTTTCTTTGATTGCTTTTCAGAGGTTATTCCCAAATCATTGCTGTCAGATTCCAAGCAGAGCACTCTGTGCTATACTGGGCTATACTACAGTAGTTCCTTTTCGTTTCACAGGTCGTCCCACTTCTGTCCCCAGCCGCGATTCTCCTCCCACCGCCGCGGGGTCGAGGTGGACAGCTCGAGCCTGGCCGTGTTTGTGCAGTCGCCCAAGTGCCCCGTCTGCGGCGTCAAGGGCAGCACCTTTGGGCGGGCGGCTGGCTGTTTAGCCGCCTACGGCGGACGTGGGAGTTGGGATGCCTGGGGGTGGGCTGGATGTTGATGGACAAAGGGGGGTGTTGATGGAATTTACCATCTCAAGAAGTTGTTGATGGAAAGATCCTGAAACAGTTTTTGTGAATGATTCCTGGTGTATCCTGGCGTGCGTTTAGAGGGTGTGTTGTGCTTAACGCCTCATTCTCGAGGACGCCCAGATCCGTCGAGCGGGCGTTCATCAGGTTTCGAGGATGCTGGAGGCAACGTGATCTACCAGGTGGGGCACAGGGCACAGTGTGGCAAGTGTTTCTTGGCTTCGTTGGGTCCAACGTGTTCGTCAAAGGATATCAGGGAAAATGAGCTTATGAACCTCTATTTGTTTATGGCAAAAAAAAGGCGGAGCCTCTTCTTGTACCAGTTCGAGCCAAACCCATCTCACATCATCCGCATCCCACGAGTTCCCCCAAACACCGACACTTCCCTAGGTTGGTTGGCAGAGCTGGCTGACTCAGCTGACCAGTGAGTTCTTCCATGTCCTCATCGATGTTCGGCTTCATCGCAGATTGCAGGATCTTCGGCCTCTGGAACCCCACGATCTCAGCGGCCCTGAGCCCCTCAAGCTGAGCTCGCACGATCTCGCACGGACCCAGCTGGGCCCAGCTGGATGATTCATGGGCGGTAGTGCCGGCGGTTGAACTGGAGAAGACGAGCTTTCAAGCTGCGCATGGCCCGTGTATGCGGTCCATTTGGGAAGTGATCGCCTGGTCGACCGAACATGAGGCAAGTGGTTTTCGGAGAAAGGGAGAAAACATCACTGATGCCTGAAAAAAACAATGATTGGCGAGAATGCGCATGCAAGAGATGTAAGAGATGTGGGAAGCAGGTGTTACTACATATCACAACCCCAGACCTGTGGGTCCTACAGGACCATGCAACGCAGGTCCAGGGACGTCCAGGGAGTCCAACTGCCTAAGCCCAGGGTGCAGGCGGTCTGGGACTTCTTTCAGCCCTCTGTGGATTGGGATTTTTCGGCATCGCCGTCTTAACAGTCTTGCGCTCTGAACGGTCTGGGACCAGTGCGGTCGGATGGGACCCGGTTAGCGCTCGGCCGAGAAGGGCATGCGGAGAAAGTGGAGACGAGCGCTCAGGGGAGGTACTGAATTGACCATGATTACCCAAACGCATTCCATTGGAAGGGCAAAGACATGGCAAAAGGTGTTTAATTCACACAGATCATTCAACCTCATGCATCCTAATGGCACCCTCGCTTTTTCAACCCCACGCACCCCCAAAAGGGCGCCCACGTGCGCCCACGACGCGCCGTAAGAGTCCTCTTTGAATCACACCCCGCGAGGCGCCTCGCGTGGTGCGTCCAGCTCGAGCGCGCTCGCCCACGGGCCGCCCCGAGGTCCCCCGGGTCCGAGGAGATTGACTATCACGAGGCCAATCTGAACAAGCTCAGCGACGATGAGCTGGCCAGACACAAGGCGCGGAGGTGGTGAAAGTGTCCATCATTGCTGGATCCCTGGATCCCTCGTTTAGAGATAAGCCATGACAAACCCAAATTGTTTCTGCTTGTTCAGAAGCAGGGGGTTGCTACGTTCAATGGTTTGGGCGATTTAGGTGTTTCGTTGCATATTTAGGGTTCGTGTTTTCTCATAGCTTCATCTTCCTCCACGACATGCTTAAGGGACCAGGTGTGCAGGATTGTGCAGGTGTCCTGTCTTGAACTAGAACACTTCCAGTTGCTTTGGGAAGTGGTTTCAGACGGTGTGTTGCTTGGACATCCATAGCCACTTCAGCATGAGGCCCGGATGAATTCCAGTTTCCTGGCCAACCAGATGAAGCCTGGTGACAATGGCTACGTCTACGATGCCTCTTGACAGCACGTTGTTTTGGTTCCAAGCGTCAGTGTCAGGCGCTCCTCCCTGCTTTCCTTCCTCCTCCAGTCATCTCCAGATCAATCACCTCCGCGCATCGTCATACAGTACCGTCGCTCAATTTTTCAGGGTGGGGATGTTCGATATATGTTGTTTTGTTTTTCATCATTTCGCTTTGTACCGCCAGTAGTTGTTGGCCGGCACTTGGGCAATCAGCCAGCGGAACAGGAAAGGAGTCTCTTGGCCAGCGGACGTGGGGATACCAGGCACAACCATTGTGCGGCCATTCGGTAGCGATGTTCGATGTGTTTGGCGATCTCCGAGTTTGATTGATGATGTGTTTCGCGTGTCTCCGAGAACTAGCGATCCACCGTGTGGGTATGATATGGCCTGATTGTGCTTCTTGTTCTGATGTTATTCCTGGAACAAGTGTCCATCCCGCCCAACAGAAAGCCGACCATCCTCTAAAAAGGCCTGGCAAAGAAAGCAGGGGGCCGCCGGGGAGTACCCCCGACAAACAGATACAAAAAGACCAAAATCGTGAAGCCCGGCGGCACCCTGGTCTTTGATTTTGGGACTCTTTGCTTTTGGGAATCCAGCTGCCTTGGATTCTTCAGAACGTCCCAACGCCCTCCCAGCTTCACCTCTTCCAGAGCACCCGCTGCTTGATCTGCTTGCTTCCGTTCCAGGTGCGCGCGGACTTCGACGCGGAACAATCGTGTGGATGGGATTCGGACGAGGACGAGGACGACGAGGACAGGAGTCGAGTCCCGCTTGGGGACGTCAGACCAGACGAAGCGGCCACAGAGATCTGGAGACGTTCTTGGACCTGAAAGGGGCACAGGACCATAGGGATCAACACAAACACTTAGAGTATTCAATCATATTCAATCAACAAATCATAATATATCAATATGTATCATAATTACCCAATCAAATAAAGAAATAATCATCCGATCAAAACAGCCATTGCCCAATCAGCTGGTCTTCTGGTCCTTGGGTGCCCTGGTCCACTCATTGGATTGTAACATATTGTCACATGAGTCAGTGGGAAAATGAATCTCTTGGGATGCTAGGATCTATATAGAAGATTATAGAAGGTATTCGCGGCAGTTTTAAAATCATCTCAAGTTTAGCACCAGTCAATTCGTCCCTGCATTCGGTGCATACTCCTTGTCACATGATTCGGAACCTGTTTGTGCTTGTGGACCGTATAAATTGTATACTATACAACAATTGTATATACTGTATATACTTGTGTCGTTGGGCATTTGGAACACAGCCTTGGAAAACCCGTGAAAGCCGGTGGCCATCATGTCTGTGTTTGTATGTCCACCCTGCTCCGAAGGGCTCTACGCCGCATATGAGTCACTATTGCAAGCGATTCAATCCTTTAATGACACGACTTCTGCAGTGAAAGTAGCACGGGTGCCAGGGACCGTGCAAGTCTGGCACTAACAAAGACGCTTGCACTAGTATGTGATATCAACTCAGGACGCCGAGTTGGAACTGGGTTTTGTTCTTCTGCCATTTCGGAGGGACATTTCTGAGGTTTCAGGTCTCTTGCACTATTTAATTTGAGTAATGCTGTAACTAGCTTTAAAGTGCTAATGCATCGGTTGATGCAGTTTCTCAACTCGTGCTCATTCATTTGAGCTTGTTCTATGTGTGTGTGTGTGTGCGCGTGCATGTGCGCCTCTGTGTTCCAATTTCGGAGGAATGAGAGTGCTCCTCGAAGCTGGTGGCACCAGATGACTCTGGCGACTGATGACCGGTGTATGAACGACACCAGTTTTTCTTACCACACCTTTCCTTCTCACCCTTGCAGGCAGACGACCTGCGGGATCAACAAAGATCTAGTGCCGAGCGCGTATGACATGCCGAAAGACATGCGAATCGCTCCAGACCGCCAAAACATGCAGCTGTGATGAGTGATGGGTTGTTTGCCAGTTGCCAACCTCACTGAAACTTGCAGGGCCATGGAAGTGAACCGAATATGACAAAGTAGATGGCCCTCACCTGAATCTGGGTCACCAGCAGCCGCAGTCTCCCTGTCTCCCTTCTGTGAGGCCCAAAATACAAACCGGACCTATAGGGGTTTCTCCTCTCTCCAGAATCCAACATGATCCAATTGGGACCCAACTGGGTTCTCAATAGATGTCATGAGTTCTCAGTTCCCTGGCCTCACGATGGTTCTTGGGAGAACAGGCCGTTTGAAGTTTGAAGCTCCGCCAACACCGCGTGCTCGTGCTCTTGGGTGGCACGGCGCTGACTCCACGCAGGCGCTGGAAGGCGCGACGTTGAGATTAATCCTGGGCTCGAGTAGGTCTCGGCCTCAGATGACCTATGATGACCTAGTCACCATCCGTCTTCTGCAGATCACGAGTTTTTGTCCAGATTCCTGAAAAAGAGCGGTGGATGCCACCACGTGGAGGAAACAGAATGGAACTGGAACATATGCACACATCATGCCACATCCCATTTCTTGACTTTCCAGGTTTCTTTCTCATCTTGCAGCGCCCATTGAAATGAGACGTATCCAGGATCCAGCTTTTTGCTGTGTTTTTCGAACTATCTACCATTCTCTACCACCATGCATGATCTTGGCTGCCAGTGCCGTTGCAGAGTGCACAGGAAGGGGTTCGGACGGACCGTCAATTCATTCGCATGTCAATGTCATGGAAATCGCACCATTGGATTGGCCAGAACCACTAGCCACTACACAGCAGGATTGCAAAGCACTCCCTTGGTGCTTCCCCACGCATCCCATGATCGTGCTATGCCTTGGCCTTGACAAAGGCAGTACTGGTGGTGCTTCCACGTGAGGACTGCCCTTGCCCCAGTGCCAGTTGGGTGAAAGTCGGAGATGTGGATTGATAGTGCGTTCGTTGCAACGCAGGTGCAGATGAGAACTATAACTATAATTGACATAGGCAAGCCATGTTGTCATCCATTTGTCATTGTTCAGTAGTTGCTTCGTTCGAAATGTGAAACAGTTGCTGACAACCACAGGTCACAGGTCCCTCCACTGTCGTCTTGACACTGCGCGCTCTATCCGCCTCACATGGGATGGACTCCTCTCAGGTGTGCTGCAATACGTTATGGCTCAACGGCCACATGTCTATCGGCATCCCCAGGAGCGATCGGATGGGCGAACCGGGAACGGGGGGCAGGGATCCGTCCCCACGCCCGGCCCAGCCTGGTTCACTGAAGTCCGATTTGTTCAGACTCCATCTCCTCACGCTATCCTCATGTGCTCCTGGATTCAGACCTCCAAATCCCGTGTGAGACGTTCAGATCTGGAGGTCCCAGGGATGCGGTCCCCAACTGGGGGACGTGGTGGCCAAGACGCCCTTGGCGGCGCTGAGCGGCCCTGTTTGGCGGAATTGCGTGTGGAGCGAGCCGCAGGCCGGAGGGAGGGTGGGACAAGAATAGTAGGCTCAGAAGGAGGGACGGGTAGGCTGGTTGGATGAAGAGATGAATCAGGATCTGAAATCTTCTGAAAGGGTCAAACGGGACTCACCAGTGGGCCGCAATTTTCTGAAATGTTTCCACCTGGCAAGCTCTTTGTGCTCTTTGGGGGTCCCAATTCCAAGATACGGCTTTAGGGCCTTGTGACAAATGGTTATGGAGCAGTTCTTCAACTTGCAACTGACCGGGCGAGTTGCGGTACACAACAATGACCGACACCAGCAGAACCATGATGATCATGATGAATAATGGACCACCACCAGCAGTGCTACAGCCACCATCATCCCAAAGCCCGTGCCACGCACCATACCACCCCGGCTTTTGGATTTGGAAGAGGATAGACAGGGCGTTCGCGTGGCAAGCATGCGAGGAAGACCCTCCTAACTGGAGTTCGGAATCCTTTAAGATCTATTCTGCCACTGGCGAAAGACGACAGTTCTGCCCCACCTGTTCACCTCTTGATGCCGCCGTCGGATTCGATGGGTGTTCACCTGTGCTCATTTGCTCCACCTGTCGACAGGAATGCGATGGCCAACTAGAAGATCTCACTGGCGAGGAACCTTACATGGCACGAGCCTCAGGCGCCAATTGACCAAGACTTCATAGTAATGCTCGTTGTTACTAGTAGTGATGATGCACTTGTTACTAGTAGCGATGCACTTGTGTTTTGATGATTGTTTTTGTGTTCTTTTAGCTGCTCTGAGACCTTGCATGCACCAACTGCTGTCGGCAGTGCTGGAAACTGTTGAAGGGGTGCACCCGGTCATGCTAGGTCCACTTTTCGGGCGTTTTTAGGCCTTCGATGGTTTTCGATGGTTTTTGTGTAAACAAAGATGAAACGAATTGGTATTGAATGGTTTTGGTTAATTTCAGGGCTCCTTCCTTTCGGCTTCTGTTTAGACCTGAGATTCGACCCGAGATGCACCAACAGTTCCCTAATCACGAAATCATGGACCCGTCAAAAGAAGGGAACCAGTTTGGAAGCCTCAAGAAGCACCAGAAAACTGCGGGTAGGATGACCGCCTGTTCTATCCCTGATGGCTGATAAAATAAGATCAGCCTGTTCATTTCAGGGAAGGACATGGACATGGACCATGGACATGCCATGACATGCATTTCACTTGCATCGAAAGACCCTTTCGGACAACTGAACTCACCAAACCCTTTGGGACATGGACCCCATTGCCTCGTTGCTGCGCTGAGCTTCGCTTAAAAGTCGACGACGGCCACGGCACTGTGCTGAAGCTGAGACGCGTGGATGTGGGGGAGGTGGCGCAGAATGGGATTGGGAGGTTGTGAGACGTGTCAAAAGCTGGAGATCACGCGGAAGTTATTCTGATATACTGATTAGGGACCGGAAAACGAATGTATGAGGTGGTTCTGGAGATTAGCTGCAACACGCTGAAACATGAGATTTAGACCTTGTAAAATGTGTTGCCTCTATATCCTGGAGTCCTTTGGGCACAAGGAGCACTGTGCGGCGGCGCCCATTTCCTAGCCAGACGGCACAGACAGCAAAACATATCCAGCTCAGACGACATGTTGGACCGACTTCATCAGCAAAACAGCCCATGCCACCAATATCCCACCCATCAGATCTTCCAGCCATATCTGAAGATGGCGACTTCGCAGAAGCAGATCGCCCGGCGCGTGGCGGTGCTTCTGGAAGGCTCTCGTGGCGATTGTCAGCCCTATATGGTGGGCGCGCTGGCCTTGCAGAACGCGGGCTACGACGTGACGGTCTTTGGCACCACCGACTGCGAGGCCATGGCGAAGCTCCTCGGTGGCACACCAGGTGGGTGGCCAGGTGGCACACCAGGTGATGATGGTGATAGCTTTGGGGAGAATTCGGCCTGGAGACAGAGTTTCATGGTAAAGAATGAAAGACCAACTGCTGAATCACCAACTGAATAGTAGGACTTAATAGGACTGAATCACCGGGCAACATAAATGTACATTCAAGGGGGGGGGTGCCCTCCCCTCTCCTCTCAATATACATTTCCCGGTCTCGAGATGTCATTCCCGGGGAAGAGAGATTATACATGTTTTACTTGGAAGTTGTAAGTTTCATTCTAAGATGATTCTGGATGTCCCCTGCCACTTTCATACACTTCCCTGCAAAAAAGAAGTGTCCTCACGGCGGTGAAAACCCCCCAGAATGCTGTTCAGAATCGGTTCTTACACTGTCAGAACAAATCAGTGTCCGGAATGTTCAATGATTTCCTAAAAAGTGTTTCGACCCCATGAGTTCATACATCTCATGTCTTTAGCCACCCCCTGCCTTTATGAAAAAACGGTGTTTCCAGAAACACCGAGGAAGCAAGTAACATATATAGAACATGTATATTGAATTGAGACATCCGTTTTCTATCTGTTCAACCCCCCTGTTCGAAAATGCCTTTTTCAACACCTGTCCCTGCCCATTTGCATACATTAGCAGAAATGTATGAAACATTATGAAACCACTCCCCTCCCCTCCCTGGAGATGGACCGGGTGATAGGACTGAATTTATTGGATATAGTCATGATATAACCACCGAGTCCAGTTGGTGGATCACAACTCAGCTTCCTGACCGAACATGACTAGGCCTGTGTCGTGTTTGTCTCATGCTGCATGGTGTGACCAGTTGCCAGTTGTGAGGTGTGTCAGACCGACGGCCCTCTGTGGTCTGCGAAGATACAATCAATCCCCAAGGATGTGGATACAACATGATTATAACATATGTATATAGAGGGAATTTGCATGTGCAGTAAATTGCATACTGGTCAAACCGCTCCAAAACGGGCCACTTGACCTGCCCACGACGGAGGTTCACACGATGTCATGTTTGCTTTGTCCTCATCTAAGGGAGCACAATCTCCAGTTCAATGCCTCGGGCGTGTCAGCACGAGAGATCACAACAAGCCCAGAAGTTGTCAAGGCGATCACTGCGACCCTGGGCTGCACCGTCGTCATACTGAGTCGAATTGTAGCTGTTCAGTTGTCCCATGTTGTCCCGAAATGTCCCAAACGCAAGAAACGATGCCGGATTTCCCCTAAAAATCTAGAGACCAATTCATTAGTGCGGGCGTGAGCTATCCTGCATCGAGTAGTTAGTAGCTTACTTGTAGCTACTAGCTACCTCTCCCCTACTTAATTAAATTAAGTAGGCGCCTACTTAATTAAGTAGGGAGCAGGGGGTGGTGTCGGGTCGCAGGGGGAACCCAAAACGGGGACTTCCGTTGAGTCCAGCGTCGCAGCGTTGCTCGGGTATGACTTCAATCCAAAGTCGTACCTCGTTTCGGGTGGTGAAATGCTGGACAGTGGCTTCAAATTGCTAATGAATTTGGCCCTAGCAGTTAATTTGCAATCCTTCTGCCTGATAGGTCTATAGCTCCTAGGTGTTTGGTGTTTTTTGGGGGGCCTCTTGCAATCTTTTGCCTATTCTACTGCTTCATCTAGCGATTCAGTAGGCGGTTCAGGCCTTGATTCTCCGTTTAAGTTTACTTTGTCTCCGCTGCGATTGCAGGAACGACTTCGCCCAGATTGCAGCTATTGTAGCGCCATTTGGTTCTGCAGATCAGACCATGTTTTTGGAAGCGTCGAACTCCCTTAATGCTGTGCGTTTCAGCGTTGCGCAACAGATGTTTTCCTCAGACTGGATTGCTCAAGTTGTGTCTTTGGGAAGTTTCATGCTTCCATTGTCCTCAAAGGTAAGCAGAAGGAGATCCACCGAGCCAAGAATGTAGCACCTCGCCAAGCTGGCGGACGGTGCTAGCGGCTGGGCCGGTGACATCGGTTGAACTCTAACGAGTCCTCATTAAACCCAGGACCAGACCTTGCTTCCTTTACAAGTTTTGGACATAGAGCCATCATGTACATGGAACATGTGACTCTGCCAAGGAAAAATTACTGCGTAGGCTGCTACAAACTACTGTGATGTACATCATGCAGTTATTAACTGTGATGTACAAGTGTGACTTGGGTGTTAAAGGTGTGTGCGTGCGTCATGATCGAAATCAAAGGCTTTGAGACGGGACAGGGCCATTGTGCAATTTGCTAGGAGCAACAGCTTTAGTGTGAAAACAAGGGCGAATATGATTAAAATCAACAATAGATAATATAAGGTTTCAGCCTTGCATGTGTAAACATCCCGACAAATCCTGTAAGAGATTCCCAAAATCATGCATGTCACCTTTAATCCGTTGGCAGGAACTGGTCTAGAAAATTGCACTGAAGCCTCTCCATTGATGAGTGCCCTTGCATGCAATGCTACAGGCTCCGGAAGAAAGACCCTCTCCCATCGCTGTAACATGCATCATGGCATAGCGTCGTTGGGCGCAGTCCTTTGGGAGCACTTGCGGCCTAAAACTCTGCCAGAGGCCGAGGCCACTTGGCAATTCTCTCCACCCTGCACGAGCCCGCCTTCTGCATATCTCTCCCATGGCCTCCAGCCTCCCATGGCATCGCCTTCTCCTTGTGGCCTCCCTGAGGCCGCTGTGCTCGGCAAGATTCAGAGCTTGAAGCCCGAGTTGATGATTTGCGCGGGCTTGAACCTGTCCGACTGCATCTCCGTGGGCCGTGTGCCCTGGTTGCGGGACTCGACACTGTTGCGGGGCGGAGGTGGACCACGGGACAGGGTGTGGGGGATGACACACTCTGATGGGTGTAGCATTACCTGCATCTAAGGAGGTAAGCAGAGCAGAGGAGGACTTCTTTGCAAACATGCAAACCGACCAAACAGACCAATGACTAATCCAAGATTTGGATAAAACGCATCCGTTCCCAAAGAGCCTGAAGTGGTGTGGGTATTTCTCTGTATATGTATATGTGCTGGCAAAATACAACCAGGGTCCACTCCCCAAATAGTCCCACAACAAAGGGAGGTTTTGACACAACAAACGCATGGACTCCTAATTACTTCTATGAGCAGCCTTTTCAGCCCTGACCCCAAGGTCGAGGGAGGGTTCTCGTGATGGTGTAGTGGCGCGGACGGTTCGCGTGTTTCGGTTCCCCTCCGCGGAGGGTGAGCGCCCTTCTCCAGTTGAGTCTTAGAAATCCGTTTGCTCGCGTAGTCATTTTGCCGCAGGTGCGGCATTGACATACTTCAAAGCCATGGACCGTTCGCAGAGTGGTATCGTGTTTTTCACCGGAGACATGGGAGTCTTCATGTTCCCAACTCACCGGAGACTAAGAGCTGAAGCCTATGCTTCACTCACCCAGTGACTAAGTTCATGGTCGGTGGGTCCAGACTTGAACTGATGGCATGGTGCCGCCTGACCCCCACATGGGCTCAACATGGGCTCAACTGCACTTCTCCTACTTCCAGCGCTTTGCTGATTGAATCCACGCGCATGGTTAATTCTTCGTCCGCGGTTGGACAACTCTTATCATGTTTTGGACTGTGGGGTCTGCATATGCCCTCCAAAATAACTAAGACATGAGCCACAACACATCTGGTATCATCTGGTAATAGGGATTCGCTTCGTGGCTCTGACGATGAGCATGTGCGATCCCTTCTTTTCCACCCGGTGGGTCGAGCACGAACAAGACACGACCCTTCAGGACCCTTCTTCCGACCCGAACTCCGGATTTGGAGTTGAGGTTTTGAGCATTCCAGTCATCTACTTGAGCCTGCAAGTCATGATTCCAAGCAATTATTTGCCGGCATTGGGGGTCATTCCCAAATTGCCCAGCTTTTTGAACATGAATCTCGCCACAGTTTCTTCAAGTTCCGAGTTTGGTGCCGATCGTCCTCGCCTGAAGAGCAAACCTATGCAAATCTGGAAGGTGCCCCAAGGCACATATATTTTATCTTATTGTATATACGAATATAACAATTACAATATATATATAGAGATGAATTCCTAAGTGAGTGTGGCTTCAGAACCAAATTGCAGAATAAGTAAAGTGCTGAGGGGATTCTTCATGTCACATGTTCCAGTCCAACCATGCATACTGTTTCAATACATGAGCCTCGACGCCTCGACACAAAACCATTATGACATTCAATGAGCTGTATCTAGCACTCCCACAAGGTAACAAGGTGCTGCAGCCATTCGATTTGCAAGGGATCACCCCCCTGGAAATCCACATGGTACTGGCCTTTCCAGATCTGATGCACGGCAAAGGACTTGTTCTGCCTCAAAAGCTTTCAGGGAAAAACACCATTGGAACGCCTCAGATGCAAGCCCATTGGTTGCCATCATCGAAAGGGAAGAAGTTCTGCTCAGAAACACCATACCGATCTCCATGGACCTTCATTGCCTGCAGGCCTTCCTTTTTGTGA